TATTTAACTATATTGTGGACGGTGTATGAAAAAATGGATGCTTTTCGCAATAGAATGCTTGTATTTATGTAAAAATAACAATAAGGTCTTTGAGGTATATTAATAATTAAATCACAAAGATAATAAAAACAATGTTTTTCGATTCAAGAAAATGAGGTTGAAATTGGCAATAAATCGGAAATCGGAACAGGACAACTAATAATATTAACAATATTACCAACCAATTTTCCAAAGATATATGCAAAATTTTATAATTTTAAGAGTTTTGTTTTGCACAAAATAAAAAAAATGTAATCAGAAAACAATTTTTATTCTAGCGCAGGATTGAAAAATTTCCTGTAAACTTTTAAAATGGTGGGCAATTCGAAATATAGTAATTGAATTATAATAAATTACTCTGCGATGGTGACTTACAAATTCAACTTCAATAATCCATCCAAGAATTTTTTAATTTAAAAAAAAATTAAAAAAAGAGGTGAAAAATTTTTACTAAATCCAAAAAAGTTTTTTCATCCCTGAAAGGGTTTAAATTTTAAATTAAAATTTTCTTTAACTTACTCTTCTCATTAAAGGTACACACATTTTATTTGCTAATTTCATAATAATTATTTGAATTTTATTTTTTCATCTTCTTCTTTAAAATTTTATGAATTTTGTGTAGGAGGTTGATTAGATTTTGGCCATTATAAAAATGTGTATATAGAGGTACATGAAAATGATGACATACCTTAGATAATAATAAGTTAGTATAGGAATCAAAATAATTTTTGATGAATAATATAATAAAGGAGATCATTATGAAATTTACTAGAAAAATTATAATTAGTCTCTTAGCTAATAAATTGTTTTCAATAAAATTTAAATTTATATTTTACTTTTTATATATTCATTTCCGCTATTTTAAATATTGAACTTGAATAAGTTAGTATTAAGTAAAAAGCATGTTTCAAATAGATTTTTTTTACAATGTAGCAAGAAGCATGCGTAGAATTTTGATGGAAAATTCTCTAATTCCAATTAGTTAAGAGAAACCATCTTCTATAAATTAAAAATTTTAATTGCATAATTAATTAATTGATTAAATAAAATTCTAGGAGATTAATTAAAGAATGATCTAATAAACTAAATAAACCAACGAAATTTCATTCATTAGAAATATTTTTTATATGCAACACAATTAAAAAGCTTTGCCACTAATGAGTCGTAAGCTATTAACAATTATTTAATAGTAGATTGCAGACTGTTGAAGCAAAATATAGGCAAAAGAATTCCTTCCCTCCGACCACCGCAGCCAATCATTGCTTATCGTAGCCTTCCCATATCCCACTTAAACGTTCTGATTTCAAGTAAATACTCGGAGATACTCCTCAGAGAGTTGAACGTGAGCTGCCCAACATTGAGAATATCCCACCCAAACCATCTACACGTCTTTGATAGCCAGGCTTACGGAGAATATGCATGGCCGTCTTGCCATCATCCTAACAGAATCTATACACAAAAGAGAGTCCAGTTTTCCTATTCGATAATAAAAAAAAATGTTATGAATTTAGCTGCTTACTTGAGATTTATTTTACATGAGTCAAAAAACTCTAATACTATATCCACTATTTTTGATCTACCACATAAAAATAATTGTAAAAATAATGGAAATGTAAAATGGATTATAAATTTCTGATAAAATGTGAAAATAATAAAAAAAAATTTATACAAATAAAAATTAATCCCTGATTACATTTGTCATTTATGCAAAATTATTTTTGCTTCTTTTATAAAATCCAAATATTTTTGAAAATATTGTATAAGGTACTTAAAGTTTATAAGTTTTATATTACAAAATTATTGGTTATATAAATGAAAATTTATTTAAAAACCATTAAAATGAAAATTTCCATTTTTTTACATTTAAAATTACAATCAAAATTTATTTAATAAACAAAATTTTAAGCCTAAGTTACATGAATTACGTATGGTGTCTTTACTTTACCTATGAACTTTCACCAATAAAATTACAAAATTTCAAATGTTGTGTTTAATATTAATTGATTTTTTTCACGACTTATAAAATTTATAGTTTTTTTTTTAATGCAAATTGAATATTAAATAATGAAGAAACTCATGTATTTACAAATGTTTCTTTAGAAGTTTTTAAATGAGAACGCATTTTCAAGTTATCTTCAATAGAGTGTGGTGAAGAACAATATTACATAGCTTAAAAGATCATATTAAAGAAATTTGAATAAATTTTGTTTAATTCAAAGGTGACAGTAATCATTGCGTTTCGTTTACATGGAAGTAATTGGATATTGAATAATTTGTAAATGGAACGTCGTAACTCCTATTAAGATTCTTATACCGTAACTCCTGTTAAGCAAGTATTAAGTCTTTATCACGCATATTGCTGTTAAAAAATAAAGCCATCTATTGGAATAAATGAATAATCTTAATTTCACCTATATACATAACATTTGTGCTGAAAGGAGATAAAACAGTTGTATGCGCTATTCAGAATAGATCAATCACTATATCCGCAATAGATAATTACAAATGTCATTTTTACAACATTAAATTGAAAATTAAATTAAATAATAAATTTCAAAATATTATACCTATATAAATTACTTGTAAATTAATTTAATTATACCAAATTTCAAAATAATTATAAGAATACTTAATGTTTAATTAATTTGAGATTAGGATCTAAAATAACAAAATAAAACTACGTACCAATAGTAAATAGATTTATGTACGTATTTCATAATTAATGTCAAATTTTTTATTTCTTAATTTATATAAAAAACAGCACAACTAATAACGAAAAAATCATTATCCAAAGTCACAAAAATCGAAATTCCAATCAATTTTCCTGCTCATTATATTTTGAAATTAAAGAAAAAAAATTAAGTACTTTAATTAATTTTTTTTAATATTTACATAAGAATTCTTTTAATTTAATTGAAAGTTGAAGGTTAAATTATTTAAAACGATTTATTTCTTAATTAATCTCTAATGATCAGAGATATAGTACATAAATATATTGTAAGTACTTTAATCCGAACAGCTCAATTGTCAAAAACAAAATCATTAAAATAATTTTATTATAATTATGCTTTTATTATACTTTCTAAATTGTTATATATATAAAATATTACAATATAATCGTGTACATGTGTGTAATACAATTGATTATAACAGTGGATCGAATAAAATGTAATAATGACAAATGTAGTGGATTTTATAGTTGCCAGATCAAATTGAATTCTGAAGTATAATGCAAAGATATTCGAAATTCAGTATTACCAAAATGGATATGGTGAATAATTTTTTAACCGAGGTGGTGAATACAATATACTCCTATAACATACAACATATATATATACATATATTAACATATATTGTAATATACAATAATATTAAATAATGCTCTTTTTTGTAACTGTTAGACAGTTTTAGGCAAGAGCTCCTTTACAACGACATTCTCTACCTTTAAATTACCATCGAATCTTATACTTAAATCCAACTTGCTTTGAAAATTCTTTCAATTTTAAATCGAATGTTAAATATTCAACGCTACATTCCTAAAATTGTACCCTAAGATTGCCTTTTTGTGTATTCACATTCAAAATGACAAATATTACAATAAAACCTACAGTTCATGAATATTATAAATAAATTACTTTTATATAAAATTTACTACCGCCTTTAAACAGATAACAACTGGTAGTCCTATTCACGATAAGATAAATTTTATAATAGCATAACGATTCGAAATATAAATAAAATAAAAATCGAAATCGAAAGTAAAAATTAATTTGACCATAGCATATATAAATTGTAACAAAATGAAAAATACAAAAAAAAAACATTAATAAATTAATACATACATGCATACATGAACATGTGATATGATGAACGATCACTTCACCTGTTGACATACATTTCCAATGCTGATAAACGTTTAATAAATATGATACAAACACACACATACATACAAAAATTACTTATAAATGGTAATTACAAATTGGAATGACAGAGAAATAAAAAAAAAAAAGTTATAATTGACATTAAATGCAATTCTTGTTATGACAATTTCAAATGAATGTCAAGCGTTTCTCATTGTCACAACAGTAATCGCTTATACTTTTTATATTAAAATTGATTACGACTGTAAAAAAAGTGTGTGTATGAAAAGTGAAAATTTTCTTTTTTCAATTTTGTTTTTCTCCTTCCGAAATAATTTATTAAAAATTAGTTTAAAGAATTTTCATTCAATAAAACATTTTTCCTTCAATTAATAAATTTTACATATATGTACGTAGGCAAAAGTTTTTAATTTTAGGCTGTCAATCTTGGGTTAGCAATACTTTTTAAGTAAGTATGTGTAAGTTCAGCTCTAAATATTTAAATGGAGTTCTAATTTTAACTTGTATGTGAATTATGTCTTGTTATTTGTTGCTAAAATTGTAAATATCAAAGATAAGACGAGAACATAGATATGGCGATAATAATTTACACTACGTGACATTGGATACGGATTAATTACATGTTTAATTTTTACGCACGAAATAAAGCAATAACTGCACTTTTAATTATGCCCATTGATTTGTGATATAGTTTAGTTTTAAAATGTCAAAGCTATATGATTACATGTTGAGGTAAAAGTTTGACACTAATATAAACGTTAAATGCGTATTAAACGTACATTTTAATTAGTTGAAATAATTATCTCGTAAGACAAATCAAATACGACACCTTATGAAAATCCGCATTACGTGCTAAAATACGCAACTACAATTTAATTTCACATTCGAAAATTTTAAATAAATTTAAAATAAGCTTTTACAACATAGGTACGCACTTTTACGCATACCTTTACAGCGCCGATAATCGTAACAAAAGAAAATTTCAATTCATAAAAGCTTTTATTCTCTTGTGTTCATTTAATTTTTTTTTTTTTGTAAAACTCAAAAAATTTTGAAAATAACGTAAAAACATTCACTTACCATTTCCGTTTCATTAAAACCATTCCGGAACATACGGCGATGTGCTGCTTTAAATTCATCCATTAAAGCATTATGCCGTGCTGCATTAACGCCAAGTGATGGATTTCCAATACGTTTAGATTGCTGTTGTTGCTGTTTCAAATTCGCCACACATTCATCAATGTTAGTTTTTTGGTTTGGGTTTTGACTTAGACGCTTTTATAAAGAAAATGAGAAAAATTTAATTTTTAAACAATTTGAATTTCATTTGATTAGCAAAGACAAAAACCAAAAATATTATTATAGGAAAAGCTTTAATTTTTATGATCATTTTTAACCGTTTGAATTTTTTAAACTCAATAATGTGGTGAAATATTTAAAAAAATATTTTCTTTGAAGCCCTCTGTTATCTGGTAGAAAAATTATGGTCTTTATGCAAAATTTTAACAATGTTTTAATAACAGTTTGATGATTTATTTTGCATTTTAAGTTTTGTAACTAAAAAGTAAAAAATCATAAAAAATTGTAAATTTTTTTTTCAACTCTGCACAAATTTTGTTCACTGAACAGAGTAATGCAAAAATGCATATAAATTCTTCTCAGTTTGTGGTTCATATAAGAATGCGCAGTCAAAAACCATCTTTGTAGATGATTAAATTCATGTGCGCAGTCCCGTGTTTGCGTATTCTAATATACATGATTATGTTAAGTTGTTGTAGTATGATTATAGAATGTATTTTAACAGATGTATCGTCAATATTATGGACAATTATTATATGCAAGTTTGTAAGAAATTTCTTTTAATTTATTTTTATTTAAAAATTACAATGAACTCAATTAATCATAAACTTCTATTATATCATTAACGAACAGAGCACAGTAAGATTGTATTACTTAGTAATTATTAAAATCTTCATTGGAGCAAATCGGAAATTGGAGCAGATTGCTATCGAATAGAAGTAGAATAATATAAATTAATTCTATATTATTAGCAATTCGTTATCGTTCCTGTTCCCATCTCAATAAAATTTTTATTACAAAATGATCATTTGTTTTTGTTCTCTATTTCCGTTTCATTTGTCTCTGACAATATTTTAATAGAAATTCCATATTTTGACTTCCAACAACTGTACATCAGTGTAATTGTACATAGGAAAATGTTGAATTACGATAAGTAAAATGAAATAAATTTAATTTTCTTCTTGTTTTTGTTGGACTTTTCTAATAGAAAAAAACATTTTTTTTTATTACATGCAAAAAAACATGATGAAAATCTGTCATTAAACATCCATCAAAGCTTGAAATTGTCTTAAACTTGAACTTGACAAAAAATAAAAATATACAAAACACCTACACAAGAATTCAAACAAAACAAAAGACAGTAGGAAAAGATTAAAATTTTAAAATAAAAGCAAAACATTTAAATAAAAACAATTAGATATAAATTGAACAGAAAGAGATAGAGAGAGAAAAAAAAGAAAAGAATTGCTTTAGAAAAAAAAAATTCCCATATTTAGCGTTCATTATTTTTTGTTCAGTTATAAGCTGATTTAAAAGAGTCATCAAACTGTTATTTTTACTGTTATTTATTAATGTTGTTTTTCTTTTTCGGAAATGGTTGCAAAATTTTCTTTTTTTGAAATATGTATTTAATATCTTAAACTGCACTTTATACTTACCTCCTTTCTTTTTCTCAATTCTTCACTGATGGCACTGGAAAGACTTGTACCACCTGAACTTATAATACTACTTGATATTGATGGAGATCTTTCATGACCGCCGCCATTACTTGTCATACTTGATACACCTGAAGATGGTGTACCTGGATTTTGCATAATATCTGCTGTTTGTGAATTTGGTGCTGGTGATATTGATGATGATAATGATGAAGATGAAAATGATGGTGTCGGTGATACACCAATTGCAGATTGTGTTTTTGAATTTATTAATCCATTTGATATGGATGATAATGGCATCATTGGCGGTTGTGGTCTTGTGCATACAGTATTATTATTATTTTGTTGTTGTGATTGTTGTGATTGTATTTTACCATAAATTGAATGACCAGAATTATTATTACTATTTGAAATATCACTATAATTATTTAAATTTTGTTGTTGCTGTTGACCTTGATTTTGTTGATGATTAACAAAACTATTCGTTGTACTTAATTGTAAATTTTCATCGTTGTCACTTCGATGTACTTCAACAATAACAGTTTTCGTTTCACTTTGACGTGATACAAAACAAATATCAGCAATTTTATTATTATTATTTGATTTATTTCCGAGACCAGCATTGCCATTTGCTTCATTTGGTTGTTGATTTGTACCTGCATTTTGCTTTTGATTTGTAGTTGCTGATGACGTAGTTGCTGCTGCTGCAGCTGCCTTGTAATCAGGTGCAATAAAATTTGACATAGATGATGATAGATGGCCTATATTTGGTCTTACAATTAACTTATCATTAAATTTTTGTTGTATTCCATGTTTATTTACATTATTTCCGTTTAATGGATCATTAGCACCAATATTATTTCCATTACTAACGATGGTATTATTTATTAATGTACCATTATCAGATAATTGTATTATTGTTTTATTTGATTCATTATCTTGTGATCTCATACCATTTGAACTTAACATAGCTTGATTTAATGCTGAATTTGGTATACCAGTTACTGTTTTTCGACGATCTAAATTACTTTTATTATTAATTGTTCCATCCATAATCCATTGATTTTTTGTTTGACTTAAAATTGGTTCTTCACGTACCATACTTAAACGTTTTGCTGATTGATCAGCCCAACATGGACTTTGATCACCAGTTATACTACTTGCTGAACTATTGTAACCACTTGATTCACCCGGAAATAAATCTAAACCGGCACCAGTTCTAACAATCATTTCTAATATATTTGAACTTTTCATAACAGCAACAGCTTCACTAAATAATACATCAGAAAAATCAATACTATTGCATGTTAAAATTTGATCGCCTGGTCTTAAACCAGATTCACGTGCAACGCTAAAATCTTTTGTAAATTGTACAAATATACCGGGTTTCCATTCTGGTCCTTTACATATACCAAGACCTAATTTTGTTTTTGGTGCAACTTTTAATACAATACGAACATCTTTACCAATTGATGACATTTGTTCATCTAATGCGTTCAAGGTTGTTGCCAATGCATGACGCGGTACAATATGCCATGTTAATGGATCTAATGTTTTCCTGTTAAAATAAAAAAAAAAATTAATTTTGTTAAACAAAATTGATTCAAATTTCTGTGACTATCTGTATGTAATTAGAACAAAAAAATAATATAGAATTTGGAATTAGGTTAAGGTCGAATGAAATAGAATGTAAAAAATTTAACGAGTGTGAAGAATATTTTAATCATAAAAATTTAACGGTACTTACTCTTTTATTGGAAGCATTCCAACACCTGTAAGTTGAAAAAGAGAGGAAAAAATAAGTTTTCATTAAAAATCAAAGTACAAATTCAAACAACAAAATTAAATTCTAATAAATCTAAATGTCAAAACTTTGAGAGAGTTTTATTATTATGTCACAACACAATGACATTTGAGTTATAATTCAAAACTATTACTCATTTATGTCATTTTATTCAGGGAAATTCAAGTATTTATTCTTTAAACCGGAACATTTTTTTTTTTTGAGATTTAAATTACATTTTGTTTTGTTTTCCATTTCATACAATGTTTAAAATGCTAATATTATAGTATTTTTAATGAAATCTTGCATCATACAATTTTTTTCTTATGATTATTTTAAAACTACTTATTTACTTAAACAGCTTAAAATAATCACGGCGAATTTATTAAATTTAGTTTCGCTCTAATAACTTATGGCGCGCTTTGTTTATATGTTTTATTTTACTATTTCTGTTTTGATATTTGTTTCCAAAGAAGAATTTTATTTTTTGGTTTAAGAGATGGAAAAACTACAAAATAATTATTAGTAAAAATATATACAGAGTGGTTCACGAGGATCAATAAGTGCTTTACTAATTAATAAGTTCAAGAATCGAAATTTTTTTGAATTTTCGAGAAATTATTGTTACAATTTGACACTTAGATACTGTTTACATAATATAATAAAATCTAAGGTTATGTCTACAATAAAGTCTGATGACTGTTTACATATCACACCAAAATTATCTGATAGCGCACAGAATTAACGTCGAAATTGAATAATTTTGCTACGTAAATCATTATTAAAATAAACACCTGTTAATAGCTATTGCAAACTTCAACAAAAAATTACTTGTCACCGCATTTTACTTTTGACAATTCGACAGTAAGTCTGATAAAAATAGCATAATTCCCATTATTTGCCGTTAGACAAAGTCTGATATCAAACAGAGTTTACATATACGGCTTCCATCAAAATTTTGACTTAGTTTCAAACAAATACCCATTTTTGACGTCCATTATAAAAAAAATTTATTATGAGTAAAAATTATATCCATTTTTCAGACTCTGAAACGGTTGTATATGGTAAAGCACTTACTAATGAATCACCCTATACATTTTAAAGTTTCTTTTGTTATTTGAGTTGTGTATGACAACTATATGAATTTTAATATCATTTATGCATAAAATTAAAAATAATAGTGTTGAAGAAGTCTTATTTGAAATTTTTTATTACCGATAAAATTCTATTATTTGTAGTGAGACAATTATAACACAAGTTGATTATTTTGGATTTTTACCTGTTTCGTGAATGATGTGTTGTTGCTCTATAAAAACATACCAGATTTGGTCGTCGTCATTTATAATGAGAAAAATTTAAATATTTTTTCAATACCATGAGAATTTCGTAAAATTATTATATGAATATGGGACACGAATAATTGTATATTTAACAAAATATGTAAATTGGCTGTATTAAAAAAAAGGCTATGAGTGATTTGAAAATCCATATAAGGTATCATAGATAAATGAGTGATTTTTTAATTATTTTAAATACTCAAAAGAATTGTTCTAGTTATTGTTATTTACTTTCGATTTTACATACAAATTATCTGAATTTCTTTTATGTGTTTTGCTTACATGTCATAAAACTAATGCATTATTATGACATTAAATTTTAAAGTTGTTTTGAAATTCAAAGTAAATTATAGATTTCAAGGTAACGGTACCACAACCGCTTTAATAAATTCATTTTTTCTTAATATTTTCTATTTTACTTAATATTTCAAATATTATATAATAAAATAGATTATTTTTTGACATAATGAACGATTGCGTTGCTGTAATCGTAAAACTCAAGAGATCGAAAATGCAAACTTTATTACAGTGATACCCGTTTAGCTACTTCCCGCTTAACTGCGTTTCACTTTTAAGTGCGTCAACTTTGTTAGAGTCTTTACTTTCTCCATTACATTCAACGTCAAAAAAATTGGTTAATTGCGTTTCTTATATCGGCGCGAATCGTTTAGTTGAATTAATTTTTTAGCAAATGTTTCTCAGTTTGTTCTTCAATAAATCGCTTTGCTGCCTCAGACACAAACCAAACAAAAAAATGTTTTTTAAAGTTTTTGAAAAATAAGTCGTTTTCATAGAATGCGCATACGTCTAATGTCAAATAAAGTTTAACAATTAAGTCATTTAAATTTTTTATAAAATATTTAATATTTTGAATAATGTGTTTACCATTATTGAATTTTTTTTGAGACGCACTTGAGCGGATTGTGATGTACTAATCAATTCAGTATTGACAAATCGCAAGCCTTATTACTTATACATTTTGAAGTAAGAAACTTGCATTTAAGTGCCGTTATAAATACCGTAATAATAAAATTAATCGGATTTCCACACTCTTACGCATTTTACTTATCATTCATAATATAGTGATCATTTTAAAAATTCTAACAAGACAAAACAAAATAATTAACGCATTTTTAATTGATTTAATTACAAAACAATTATGGTAGTTCATCGGAAATGTTAATCGTTTCTCAGAGAAATCTTATTGAATTCATAATTCATTTAATAAACGGTACATTTTTCCTATTTTAAGCACACAAGTATATATGTAGATGACTTTCAATATTATTCATAGAGATAGCAAAATAACCATATAATTTTCTCTTGTATATACTAAAAATTTATTGATAAAAAAAAACCAGTTTAATAAAAATTATTAACAAAAAAGTCCAATGATGCTGAAGGCACAAAAAAATTCAAATTATTTTTTACCTTTATTATCGCGCTCATAACATTAAACTTACCATCTAATTTTTATATTATAGGTTTTTTCTAACTGGATATAAGAGTTATAAATGCAACTAATATAATCATTTTAAAAAGAAATCAATTATCATTAAAATAATCATTTTTTATACACTTATGTATAGATAGTAGAAAAAATCTAAAATAACGCGCTTTCAAATAAATTTTAAAAGCACTTTGAAAAAAAAAAACAAATTGAATTTTTTTTTTGTACTTCTCCTCATGAGCAAAGAACGCGTTAGGTTGAGAAAATTTTGTTTTTTTTTTTTTATTTAAACAAATTTATATCTTGGGTACTTTAGATACAAAACAAATCACCACTTTGTTAAATAAAAAAAGAAAAGAGCTTCCTTAAATTTCTAATTCAATAAATCAATTTTATGCTCGCTATAGGCTTTTAATAGGTTTCTTTCTGATATCAAAGAAAGAGAAAAAAAAACTTTAGCCATTATTAAAATTTTCCCGAATGAATTTTGGGGAAAGTATGGATAAGGTCAACAATATTATGACACGACATACATTTGTCAAAAGTTTCTTTATGACGTAAACGCATGTAAAGGTCAAATTAAATGAAAAAAAATTTGCTGCTACACAAAGTAATTGTGCAAAGCAAATTTTTGAATATAAATTTATGTACATGTTTAAATTATGAAAATATTGGTAGGCTGGTAAGTCTTTTGTTTGTTCATCTCTTTTGTTTTAATTGATTTCAATAATGCGAATTTTTAATAACAATAGATTGAGTTGAATAAATTTATTTTCCCTCTAAAACATTTTACGCAACCTTATTTTAACATTTAATATTTTTTTAAAGCATAATAATAATTTGTAAAATGTTGAAGAAATTATAGTTGACATCCTGCTCATTACTTTTATGCAATTGATTATGTTATTATGTAATTTATGATCAAATGAAATTCATAACTATTATTAATATTGATTAACAATTGACGTTAACAATTAACTATTGACGTTCAATTTGATTTTCATTAGTTTTTAAAATAATATGGGAGCTGACAGCTTGATTCGCTTTTATTTTCTGCTATATATATATAGTAAAAATTTTTGTATACTTTGAATGAATGAAGCAGTAAAAAAATTCGAATGGTGGTCGCACACGCTTCACGCGCCCTGAACCCGCTTTATTTATTTATTCGCATTACTGATTTTGCTCCTGATATTCTTTATTTATTCGCATTACAGAAAAGCTGATATTCTTCAAATAAGAAAGGATTTATTGAAATACCCGAATAACAAATTTAAACTGAAATACTCGTATTGTAAACCTTTGACATCCGGCAGATGTCTTTACACGCTATTAGCCTGTCAGAATTGATGAAAAACTGGCAAAAATTGTTAAGTTAGTAAGCAACTAAACGAAGTAAACCACTGACATTGAATTTTTAACACAACGTGAGCGACTTTACTCTATTAAATCTATGAATCTCATAAAAAAATCATTTGAATTTGAAATTGTAGTACAATTGCTAAGTAAACAATGACACCCTTCTAGAGAAAACAATATAGTTTGGTCACTCATAATATTTTCTATGTCATTTATACATACTTCGAACATATTATCGAAAATAAATAAACAAATCATTAATTTTTCATAAAAATAATTGAAAACGTTCATGCTTACTTATGTTTTCAATAAACCACCGTTTTTTAACTTTTTATTTCTTATTTTATGTTGTAAATAACAGAGTAATAATAATAATAATTGATAACTACCTTTAATAATACAATTAACCTTTCCCATAGACTCCCAATACACTATATACTCTTATATGTATGTATGTGATAAAATTATTGATTTATGAAATAGTGTACACAATGCGAAACGATATGGGGACTTAATAAAATAAAAAATTTTTGTTAGATTGAATTGAAATTGTTTGGGTCGCTGTCGTCATTGTAGTAGTTGTTGTTGTTATTGCTGTTGACTTCATGTTAACATTATTTTCAGCGCCATACTGTTTGTTTCTTTAGCGATTTATCACTGGTTTTAATCGCCATAGAGAAAAAAAAAATAACACTTATCTTATTAAAAACTTTCTTTACTTTTACTCGAAGCAATTTTTCTTATTTTTTTTAATTATTACAATAAAAGTAATTCAACAGATTTTGTTGTATAATAGTTTTAATGGAACAATTAGAAAAAAAAATAATAAAGTGTTTGTGTCCCTCGAACAAAAAAAAACTTTTTATGTTTAATAGGAGTTGTCGAGAACGTGAAACACACGCTATGGTAATAATTTTTTTAGTTTTAGACAAACCTTTTAATTATTGAATTATTTGTGATCACTAATTAAGAGGGTAAAATTAACAAGAAAATTAATAAAATTCGATTTATTGGAGTTTGAAGATTGCGTAGTGTGCTATTAATTAATATTTTATTTCAATTAAATAATCCAGTAAATTAATGTACTCTGACTTTGCTTTCATTGCCGGGAATGAAAGTGTGGAAATCAAATAATATTGGAATTTAAGTTACACGACTTTAGAGCGGTTTTAGAAACAAATGTCGCTTTAAAAAATCAACAAAGTTTTAATAAAATTAATCTTTTCTGTTAATGGTTTTTAACATTCAAACAATTTTCTAAACCTATTTTTCTTCTCGAATTCATAATCATAAAATTTTAATTCTTATTGAAAATGATCGAATATCAAGATTTGTCTTTAATTTTCTAAATTTTTAGTCAAAAATGTCTGAGAAGTGTGTTCTAAATCAATTGCTTCGTTTTTTTTTTAAATTTTATCCAAAAAGTAAAATAAATGAATAACGTCACCTAAAGGAACGCGTCAATAGAGAAAAATTTACAGAAAATTCTCCGCAAAATGGATTTGAACCAAAAAGCTGAATTTTTCAAAACCAGACTACTAACGGAGTTGCCAGATGAAGAAATATAAAGAAGAAATTATCAGCAATTGAATGTAATTATAATTGCATGCATTCAGCATTGTTTACCCGAGATCACTCAGTCATTATTGAAACAAACATTTACATAAAAAGAAAACACACAAATCAACATCATGAATCTTGCATAATTGTTTTATACTAAAAGATTAAACTATATTTATAAAAAAAAAAAACAAAAAAAATACCTCGAACTTTTAAAGTTAAACGATCTTGATTCGAAATGAATTGTATTAATTCTTTATGTATAGCATCATCAACATGATAACCATTAACTCGTATTATTTGATCACCAACCTAAAAAAAATTAAATTCATAAAATCATTATTAAATTTATAAAATTTTAACAACTTCATATAAAACTTACTCTTAGACCTCTTAAATCAGCTTCACTACCTTTATCAATTTTTGATATAAAAAATCCTGTACTAAATTCTTTACCACCACGTACAGCAAAACCAAAACCAATATTATTTTCCGGTCCAAGTATTATACGTCTAGAATTTGGTCGAATCATACGTATTATACGAATTCTTGAATTACCACTACCACCACTTGCTGCTGAATTATTGCTACCACCACGTGATGACATTGCATCACTGGATGAGCTCGTTGATCCTTGTATACTACTACAATCTGTCATTTTTTTTTTGTTTTCCTGTTGTTTTTTTTTATAATATCGAATTTATTTTTTTAAATGCTGCGAAATAATTCGATTATTATTCCGTTTTTTTTTTATCGTTTTCGATAAATCGATTTTTTTTTGTTGCTTTCGATCACCTTTTCGTTTGGTTTTTGTTTTTTCCTCCTTGTTTTCTTTTGGGTGTTAACTGTTTTTCTTTTAATTTTGTTTTTTTAAAAATATTTAATTTTTAAATAAAAAAATTTAATAGAAACGTGAAATTTTTCCATTTGTTGTTATTTTTTTTACTCCTTTTTTTTTTATTTTTAACTTGAATTCTTCTCATATATTTGTCGAATGGAAACTGTCGCTGCCAATTCACCTGGAAGCAATACGAAAGAAAAAAATTAAATATATTTAATTGAATTGCAATTTTTTTTTTAATTAGACAAGCTGTTAAAAGTTGTACAATTTAAAAAAAAAAATTAAAACATAATATAAAAATTTAATTTTTTTTTCTAGCTAGAGTGCTAGACAATAATAACAGTAAATGAATTCGATTATATAATAAGTTTCTGTGAATTTCTTACGCGCAAAATTAAGAAAAAAAGAAGAAATAAAAGATGCTGAGAAAAATATAAAATAAATAAATGCAACTCACACACTATTTTTTAAAAAAAATTGCAAAGGTGATTACCAGTTATAGGATAAAAAACCAGTTCCTTTAATTTCTTATACAGTACGAGCATTGCTATTAATTGGATTCCTGACGGTAATAGGATGTGAATCATTAAAATTATAATTAATTTTCAATTCATGAATGATTTTCTTTAAATGTATTGTCTTTAAAATTAAAATTCCACCATTGCATTGCAATCACTCTATATTGTAGATATTCTAGAATTTTCAAATACAAATGTCATTAGAAATTCTTTAATTTTCGTTACGTTATTAATTCTAAACATATTAATAGCACTAATCTTTAATCTTATTTTAGTAATTTCTTAATTCGTTTGCATACTTTTAAAAATTTGCACACTTTTAGGCGTACAAAAAATCAAATTAACTTCAATTAAATTTAATTTATTGTTGTAATTAGGACCGTATTAACAATTCAAATTTCACACATCGTGACTCGGAATGAAATAGACAAAGTAATATACCTCAATCTAAGACCCGAACCCGTCGAATTTTAATGTACGAGACCCGTGATAGCTTACTTTCAAACAAAACTATCTAAATTCCAAAAAATTTGCATAAATATACTAATATATTGATTAAGAACTCATTTGACAAGATCATATAAGCAAAAGCGAAGATTTTAATCTGAGATATTTCACGGGATTTTTCGAGCTTAACTAACGTGCCATATATGCAGAAATTGAAATTTTTTTGCAGACCCTTATGTTTTCATTAAATAATCTTAGAGTTTTCTGCATCTAGTTTTTGTTTTAAACTAATTAAACTAATTTCTATTTTTTTCTATTTCATTTTTAAATTCGAAATATTAAAACAAAGGTGTCATTAAATTTTTTATATCGTACCTATTTTATATCTAAATCAGTTTTAAAATACAAAAGCAAACGAGAGTCTTTTAAGATCTGCACAATAATACCGGGGATTTTTTTTTATAAAAAATAACAATATTGTGCATTTATGTTTAAGTATTTTAAACAATATAAAACAAAAAAATAATTTAGATAATATTAAGAAAACAAGACAAGAAAAGCAAAACTTTAGCTTAGATCTTTCTATGATCGTTTTTGTTTTTATAATGTTTAATAAAAAAAATCTTTATTGTACATTTTAAAAATTTTATGTTCTTCTTAAAAAATTCAAGTTTCTTTCCTTAGTTTTTAGTTTTTCTTTTCATTTTTGTATTTAAAAGAAACCGTTTCCTTGATTTTGTATTCTTCATGTACTTTAAAAACAAACCCAATGTGGCCAGCATATAATCGACCGCAATTTGCATTTTCTAAGTAATGCCCTTTAAACACTTTTTCTTAATAGTTAAAAATTGAAAATGAAGCCCTATATATAGGAAGTCTTCTGAGCTCTGATATTCAAGAAAAATTTGTTACTTCAATTTTTCAGCAATCGACTATTTCCTTGTATGTAGATAAATCGACCAAAACCTAAATTTGATTCATATAGGCTCCTGGTTCTTTCGAAAAGCTTGCTGATATATTTAAGAACGTAAAATTGACCTGCATTGAAAATTCTGATTTTTGCTTCGTGACATAACCCAAAAATTGATCAATTTGCCACCACACATCAAAAATAAATTCAAATATAGAATTTCATCAAAATAAATTCAGCCAAAATTCAGATATAAAAGTGCACACGCAGACACAACTTGTTGAAAATACATTGCGTATACCTATGTCTCCCTCTATGACGAAAAGATACATTTCGGTCGAGAACGTGACACATAAAATTTAGTGCTATCACATTACTTCCCTTTTTTATATGCCGTGGGTTAAAAGTATAAATAAAAAAAAAATTCTTTAAAAACTCCAACTATTATACACAATACATGAACCCGTATATTTGACAAGAAAACAGGAGAAGAAACAAAAATTAAAAAAAAAAAACAAGCTATTCATAAATGTAGTTCACTATGACGTAATCAAAAAATTTTTATTTTACTATTCTAAAATTTTCAATACTGGGTACATAATACAAGTATTACACTGCTTATATGGTATCTACTGTTGTAACAATAACAAGTATAATGGTGAACTTACTGTTAAATGGAATGTAGGAACTTTTGTACATTTTAAATCAACTGAAAATTATACACACACATATTTTAAGTGAACTGCAAGTACATTATGCACAATATAAACAAAATATCTATATAACATGTAAATGTATAACACAATATCTAGACAATGTTGAGACATTTTTTTTTTAATGATTAAAGTATAATAGTTACAGTATATGTACTTATATACATACATAAATAATCTATATTTAAAAAAAAAACAAGTAAAAACGTTTCAGTCGGTATAAACCGATTGAATTATACCCTGCACCTTTCGTTGTTGTATAGCAATTACTCCAACCTGTGAAACCATTCTATAGAAATTTCACGGATATGTCTGATTTATAACTGGACACACAACTGCCAAGTTTCATGAATCTGACTTTATTTTTCCAAATATTTAAACTTTTGGACTTGTATGGGAGCTACTCGTAGCTGAAGAGCAATTCAACCAAAACTTCAGAAATATATCTGACCTATAACTCGACACACAACCGCCAAAGTTTCATGAATCTGACTTTATTATTTTTCCAAATATTTAAAATAAGCTTTTGGAGTTGTATGGCAAGTACCCGAACCTGTCAAGCAATTCCATCAAAACTTCAGAAATATGTCTGACCTATAATTGGACACACGACTGCCAAAGCTCATGAACCTGACTTTATTATTTTTCCAAATATTTAAAATAAGCTTTTGGAGTTGTATGGCAGGTACCCGAACTTGTCAAGCAATTCCATCAAAACTTCAGAAATATGTCTGACCTATAATTGGACACACGACTGCCAAAGCTCATGAATCTGACTTTATTATTTTTCCAAATATAAAAAATTTGCTGTTGGAGTTGTATGGCAGCCACCAGAACCGGTGCAGCTATCCCATTATAATTTTTAGAGCATGTGTAGAATATAATTGGACACATGTATGCAAAATTTTATATTTATAGCTTTATTAGTTTTTGAAATATTTAAAATAAACTCTTTGAGTTGTATGGCAGCTACCCGAACCCGTTGTCCGAATTAGTCCAATAACAATAGGGCTCGTCCTTGGCACAAAAGAAAAAACTTGTGAAAGTTTGGTGTCGATTGCATTATTCGTTTTTGAGTTATCGTGCGATCGGACGGACGGACGGACGGACGGACGGACGGACGGACGGACGGACGGACGGACGGACGGACAGACGGACATGTCTAAATCGACGCAGAATTTTACGCTGAGCAAGAATATATATATATATCCATACCGCAGATGACTCCTTCAAGTAGTTACAAACTCCATACCAAAGTTAATATACCCTTCACGAAGTGCAGGGTATAAACAATGTTGATAAATAATCTAAGATATACAATATAACATTTTTGCATTATACATTTGGAGAATTTTCATTATACACAAAGAGAATTTTATTGCATATACTCAACACAAATGTTATTATTATTATTTTAAATGGCGCATATATCTACACATATTCAGTGTTGTATTGCTATAGTGTAGAGTATAAAAGTAAATACATGAAATGAGATAAATATGTTGTCGAATTAAATGTGGTGTGACAGATTGTGTCATTTTATTGAGAAAATAAAAAAAATATAATATTGAAAAATAATAATAATAAATATATTTTTATTTTAAATTCTTTTTTTTTATCTCCCAAATCGAGACAAATAAATTTTAAATTTGTTTTAGTAAAAATATAATTACTTTTTTTTGTTTTAATTAAAATTTTGGGAAAATTAATTACTTTACATATTGAAAATAATAAGTACAATAAGATTGGAGACCGTAACAAATAAAGGAGAAAAAAAATTGGGAGATATTCAAATACAATGCATTCACTGTTGCCCCAATAAACTTTTTTAACCTTAATTTTAACATTATTTTATTCCGTATATTATGAAACATGTATGTAAGTAGTGATGGCGTAAATTGGTGCTTTGACCTGCTTTAAGTTTTATGATTTTCAATTATTTTTGCATACAACAAAATGCATTCAATTTTGTAAAATTTTAAAATACTTGTCATATAAAGTTTATCAAACGTAATTTCGTTCATTTTATTCATTTAAACTATGCACAAAACACTCCCTACTACACAAAACACTCGTTCCTACACAAAACACTATGTAGTATTACTTTAGAAGAAGTCTGTCAAACTAAGTTCTTTATCTATTGCCAAATTTTACAAAAAGGCGGTGCAGATATTAATATTCGGTACAAGTGGAATCTTTTTGCAGGCAATTAGCCTTTTCATTGAACACGGTGTAATTGTGACCACTACTGATTGATGATCGTTCTTGTAGACTTTTCAAACAAGGAAAAATATACACCAATATGAAAAAATGGTAGTTTAAAATTGGAAATTTAATAAGTTATGAAGATGGTGATGACAACTACAAAACAACGATGACAATTTAAAAAAAATAGGGGGGTAATATAGAATCTTACATTGTTGTGCATTAATAAATAATTTGACAAAGATTTATAAACAATATAAAATTGCAATATGAGTAAATAATATACTAAATATACACACAGCTACTTTTACAATGATTTTAAGTCATGAATATTTTATAATATTTACAAGTCATGAATACCAATATCAATATATGGTCTTCATAA